TTACCTCCATTTGCTATAGAAAACCAAAAAATACGGTGCCACGTGTCGCTTCCATCTACTTACCCGTAATAATAGTCCCCCAAGTCCATGTGTGGTTGTTTATGCCAGGCGTGGACTTTCAGTAAGTCAGAAAAAGTTTTNTTCCGAGGCCACTGCTGCTAACAATAAGCCACGGTTCGGTAAGCATACGTCGTCCGAGGCTCCTTAACAGCCATTGAAGGCCCACATGCGAAGATCCGCTTATGATGGAGATCTTTGGTGAATGATCTTTGTGTCTTGTTTTGTTAATGTAAGAGCATTTAATGTTTTGTAAAGTTAGGAGAGTCAACGTGAGTGTTAGGATTTGACGTCTTGGTCGAAAAGATGAGGCCACGTATAAAGTGATCCAAAGGTCACCATTTGAGTTATAACACTATAAATACCCCCACCATGTAACACAATGAGGCTAATGCCAAATACTAATGCAAAACTAAAGAGCAAACTGAACATTTTGGAGCAACCATTTTTCTCTCGCTTTAACCGTGATTTTTACAACATATTTCAACTACAAAATCATCCTTTATCGATTGGTTTCTTATACAATCGTATTACATTTTCTTGCCGGTGGCCTGAACGGAAACATCTCGTACCTTTTAGCCACTCCCACGCCCCTTTCTTGGAGCCATCTTGACCGTTGATCGGCATTAGCGTGTTGGATCAAGTTTGCGTGTGTACAAGTGGGCCCGACATCTGTTGGCAACATTTTCTGGGGTCAACAGTTAGGATGGTGAAACCTTAATGTGCTTTCATTGTTGAGTGAGTGTTTGCTCACAATGGTGTCGAGATGGGCTTGGAATCAAATGACTGATTTCTTACCCATGTCGAGTTGGGAATTAGTCAAGTTGACTAATTGTCATGTTGGAGTTAGCATTTAATCATATTTGGTTTATTACTTAAATGGGAAAGCCACCATTTGGGCTTTAAGGAAGGTGTGTTTAAGTCCCTATCTTAATGGTGGGCTCCAATGATGTGAGAAAGCCTTACCTTTGGACAAGGCGTTGAGCAGAGAAGAAGTGCTTGTTAATCCTTATCTTAGCCGTGATGCCAATGATAGAAGACTATCAAACAAAGAAAGGCATTACAAATTTCGAGAATTGGCTATTGAACTCTTAGGCATGATGCACCAATGATTGAGAGCCTTTGCACACAGATAAAGCATGAGGTGAGCAGAAAACTGAGCAAGTCTACTATCCTCCACAGGGAAAATCTTGTTGGATTTTCCAGTAGGGATAAAACATAGGCAACAATGGAGCATCGGACTTCTAAAGTTCAGAAGTTTCAAGTGAGCGAATGGTGGGCTCCAAAAGTTGTCCAACTTGTAGGGCTTATGTAGGTTTTCAATCAATATGTGTCAAATGGCATTGCGAAAATATGTATTCGTTCAACCAATGCTTTAGGCATATGATGAAGATTGGTGTCAAAATTACCCAATATTCTTAATGTGGAGTCACAAGCAACTCGGTATGCACCTAATTTTCAGAAGGGACAAACCAAAGTTTTTCATGTAGGTGTCTTGTTGAGGACGTCAACACCTTTGAGTGGATGAGAGTGTTAAAAGATGAATTTATGCGCTCTTTGTGGAAGGACTCGGTATCAATAATAGTTTGTTGTGATGGATGACATTTTTAAAAGAGGATTTAGAGTTCAAAAAGTTTGCAAACCTAGAAGAGTGAGACAGTGCAAGAGGCATAAGAGCTAATGTGGGATCCCCAATTTTTTCAAAATACATTTTTTCTCTCTCCTTTCAATCACACATTTTTTGATAAAATAATATTACACGTAATCCAAAAAAATTTCTTTATTTTTAACAACACATTCTCCATCAATCTATTATTTCAAAATGTATTCTACATCAAAAATAGGACTCGAAAAAGCCTTTAGTGAACTCAGTGTCAAAGACTCAAAGATGACATTGGAAGATTGAATGGAGGAGAATGTCATGCACTGCAATTTAGCATGACACTAATGTTTGTGACCTTGGGGACAATGGGGAGAGCTTGGCTTGACATGAGTTCAAAGTTAGTCGTAATGGCTATTTGGTTAGAAAATATAGGGGTTGAAGGCCACAACTCCTGGCGATGACATTTTCGTAATTTCAATATATTGTGATGGCAATATCTCAATTATTGTGTATCAGTTGAGTGTGGAACTTTATGAACTTTAGATTGAAGATTTAGCTTCAATGTGGATCAAATCGAAAGTTAGTTGTGAAAATTATGCTTCCTTGACCAAAAGACGTTTATTGGTGTTACTAGAATTTTACTTTCTTAGTCTATTATAAGGCTCATTTAGTGAGCAGCTCACCAACCCTCCCTTTGCCCCGTCCTAGTGGAGGGTCATCCTTTTAGCAGCTTTGGAGTACAAAATGAGCAAATCCAATAAGGGTCTAATTATGCACCTCTAAATAGGGCTAAAGTGCTCGTATGGGGTTAAAGATCGTGGAGGAGCGTTAGGCCTTCGTTGGGAACACAAAGGCCCCTAAGTTCAACAATAGAGCATTGCTACGCTCTAAGGGCTAAGTTAAGGACACAGTAACACTTCTAAGCCAAATTAGCCTTCTGTGAGGGTTTGTTGGCAAGGAATGCGATCGTGAAGTGACGTCGCATAGTTAGATGAATATGAAAAGATGTCAATATTGTGCGAACGAGTATACTATAAAGACACTTCTAATTAGCCTTGTATTAATGGATAACCCTACTTGGGCTAGGCATCAACAGAGGGAATTACTACAAGCAATGAGTTAACGTGCTAGTAGAAAGTGAAGAGCACAAGGATTGTGTTGCGAGGTATGTAAATGACCATCAATGCTTCGTACGAGATTAAGAGAGATAATTTTCATTGAATATGCATCAAGAAAGTTGTATCAAGAAGGTTGTATGTTTGCATGAGGATTTGGTTAAGTTAGAAAATTTGAATTGCTAATAGGTGAGTGCCATAGCACCATGTACAATGCAAGGATACATTCGGGTGTTTGCATGTAAGATTTGTAGCAAAATATAAATGGGTCATGGGATGTAAAAATAGTCCTGCTATAGACCCAAGAGTCAGCTTATGACGTGTAGACACGTTCCACTAGTAATGATACATTGCATTATAAATACTCCATAGTGGACAAAGCTTAATTGAAGTTGGTCTAACATACTTATTATTCATATATTTCGTAGCACTCATAAATTATAAGAGCATCTCTAATCATGGTGTAAAATAGAATTAAATTGTGATTTAGATCTTCAAAGTGATCGAAAACCTCTTTAATGGAGATATGCAAATGAAAATGCAAATTGTATTTTTCGGTAGAAAANCTTCCTTTTCAACTACACATTCTCCATCAATCTATTATTCCAAAATACATTCTTCCAAAATAATGTGGATCAAACACACCCTAATTCATGTTTGAGCCCAATTTTATAAAATTCATTTTTAATCACGCATTCTCCAAATATATTAATTTTGCACTTAAATTCAAAACCTTTTTCTATTTTTAACCATTTATTCTTTAAAAAAAATCACTTTTTACAAAGCTCTCTCTGATCTCTACTTTTTAAAATTCATTTTCAACCATATATTATATATGATATACAATTATTACTAATTTTTTTTACGTCTTATTTTATTGAATTTTACTATTTTTTTAAGTAAAACCAATAGGAAGTTATTTGTTACTAAATTTAAGCCATGTTTGTTTCAAATTAAAATAATATTTTAATCTAAATCAAAGTCAAACAAACAATATTAACTACATCCTTCATGAGTCCTACGACTTTTTAATCACATATTTTAAAAACTTTTATCACAATTTACTAAAAATCTAATTTTAATCTCCACCAAACACCCACTAAATTTTTTTTTTCTCAAACTCATTTTTCAATTACACATTTTAAAAATAAAATATTATGAACGTACATCCAATTTTTATTTCACTTTCTATCACATATTTTTTAAAAAATTCTATTTTAAAGCTCATTTTTCTTAATAAAAAAAAAAAAGGACATTTGTCAAAGAGGCTCAAATGGGCATAATTTTGAAGAATAATGCTGCTCTACCAAAAGGCCCGGTAGACTAGAACAGTTGCTCTTATTAAAAAAAAGGATCATGCTACTTGTACATTTTTTTTTACATTAAATTTGACATTGTGACACGTGTCGTATCATGATTAGCCAGTTTTTAAACATTATAAACTTTCCCGCCAACAACATTTTGAATTTTCAAAGAATGTCAAACTTCATGTCATGCAAAGAATGTACAAATAGTTTAATCCAAAAAAAAATCCCCCCAAATGTTAANAGGTGGGTCCTCGGGACCCACTTCATTAAACACCCCCCCCCCCCCCCGCCCCCCCCACATTTGATCTGCTCGATCCAATTTTTTTGAATATTTTGTCAGTACTTTTCTTGGTGGTGCACACGCACCAAATGTATCCAATCGATTCCCATGTTTGAAATATTCTGGAGCTTGACAGACTCGGGCAGTGCAGCCTTCAACTTTTTTCCAAATCAAATTCAATCGAGTCCCAAAATCCACGCGCCAACATATCCAAACATCTTTTACTCGCTTTTTCACCTGTTTAATCTGCCAGATTCCTACCCTCAACACACGTGTTCTTTAAGAAAGGCGAGTAGAAAGATAGTTTAACCTGCACGAGTATTGATACATTTCCACTTTTTGAACTCCCTCCGACAACGGCTCTTTCTCAATTCACAAATTTCTATACCGCTTTCAAGTGAAGTCTCCTTCTTACTCAAAACTTTACAACTTATTTTTGGGCTGAATTATTACAGATTTTTCAATTGTAACAACTCTGCAATGACACCAACACCCAATCGGGCCACTTCATCATAGCAGTCTCTTTTCACTTTTTCTTCTCATTCAAACTCTCTATAATCCCACATTATTTTCAAGAAAGTAAAGCAAAAGGAAAACTACAGGAGAAACTGTAAAGAAACACCCATTTGAATCAAGAAATGGAAATGGGTGTTTGGATTTTGTTCGTTCTAGCCCTTTTGAGCAAGTTGTCGCTTGCTCTTACTCCAGATGGTATGAAGTATTCTTTTTTATTTAGATTAAATATTATTTGTTCTATATACTAGTTTTTTCGGATGGAAAAATCTTGCGTTTTGATTTTTAATTTTTTTAGGAGTGACATTGTTGGAGTTGAAGAGCAGTTTGAATGACAGTAAGAACTTGTTAAGTAACTGGATAGATTCTGATGTATCTCCTTGTCACTGGACTGGTATTTCTTGCAGCCCCCAGGACCAAAGAGTTATATCTATGTATGTCATCTTCTTGTTTAAATCAGTATCTTAATTTTCATATCTAAATCTTGCTTAAGATCTTGATTTGATTATGATTTTAGAAACTTGCCTTACATGGAACTTGGAGGAAATGTATCCCCCAGCATTGGTAAACTAAACAGATTGCAAAGACTGTAAGTTACCTTCCCACATCTCGTTCGTTGGAGTTGCTGAATTTCTGTGCTATATGTGTTTTTAACACTGTTTATACTCGTATGTATTTAGGGCACTTCACCAGAACAGTCTTCATGGTATGATTCCAAATGAAATTGTCAGATGTTCTGAATTGAGAGCCCTGTAAGTGAAAATACCTATGTTTGGTAGGAGGATTAGATAGTACGGGACAATATTGTGGAAAAAAAAAATCTTGTTTATTATAATGTCCAGTCCTACCTAGTGTTGATTCGAACACACTATTTGATTGGAGGTTCTGTATTTTCCACTGTTTTGTCAGTATTGTTGGAAGTAATCTTCTTTAAAAACTGTAAATGCAGGTACTTGAGGGCTAACTATTTTCAAGGGGGCATACCGTCGGATATTGGAAACCTTGCTCAATTGACCATATTGTGAGAAATTAAGAAATTTTTGACTTTTGAAAAAAACCTTAGTTCATTTGATTTTTCTATCAATTAATATGAGATTTTGATATTTCCTTAGGGATTTATCAAGCAATTCACTTAAGGGTGCCATACCTTCTTCTCTTGGTCGTCTAAAACGTCTGCGATATTTGTAAGTTTGATTCAAATTCAACATTGGTGTCCATTCTTTCAATTTGTATAAGTTCGTTTCATTTGTTTTTTGGCTCATACACTTCCATTTTATTTCTTCAGAAATTTGTCTACAAATTTCCTGTCAGGTGAAATTCCAGATATCGGAACTCTAAGCACATTTGGTAGCAAGTCGTAAGTACTTATTCTTAAGTGAGAAACAGATCGTTCTCTATAACTCAGAAATATCAGTTGATGAACTGCAAATTTAAAACATTCGTAATATTCTCACGATTCATATATTACAAGACGATTAGTGTACATTTAAATGTGCAAGAAACAAAATACTAGATTATTAATGCGCTTTCTATCATCACTGCAATTGTGCAAAGTTTTTGGATAATTCGACATACACGGTTTAGTACAGGATTGTATTGCCACATCTGTTCAAGTAAAATTATATAAGTATATGCTGGTATCATACACTGCAAAATTGCTGCAAACTTCTGTATGCATAAGTAATAATTTCACTTAAGTAGAATACGCATAGCATTGGAGCTTGAATCCCCCTCTTCAAATTTATACTTCCAATTTAAAGAAAACGGCATAGTTAGAACCCTTAAAAGGGCTTCTTCTACCCTGCACTCGTGTAAGAAATTTTACATGCTGTTTATTGACATCAATTCTTATCTTTTTTCTAAATAGAGATTATATCAATAGATCTACACTTTCGTTTCATCTAAAGAGGTTAAGACTTTATTTAGCCTCGGTTTGGCACATTTATAAATCAATATATAAAAAGGAATAAACTAGTAGTAGTTATAAGTACGTAATTGAAATTAATATTTGACTTTAACTGAATTTATATATCAATTTATAAATTGTATCCAAATGGAGGCGTCTTCAAAAGATATTCTCAAAAAGTTGTTTCTATATGCTTAGGTTTATTGGTAATTTGGATCTTTGTGGCCAACAAGTGAACAAGCCATGTCGAACTTCACTAGGATTCCCTGCTGTGTTACCTCGTGCTGAAAGTGATCGAGCTGCAGGTATTTGTTCAATGATTAACAATATAGGAACTATAGTGGTTCAAGATGTAGTCCTCGCATTGCAATCCATTATATGTAGTCTTTTCCATGTAAATGAAAGTGTTAACTTCTAAATTGTTGCTACAGTTCCTACTAAGAGCTCCTCCCGCTATATCAAAGGAGCAGTAATTGGTGCAATGTCTACGTTGGGTTTTGCATTAATTTTGCTCCTTGGTTTTTTGTGGGTACGGTTGCTGACCAAGAAAGAAAGAGCAGCAAAGAGATACACAGAAGTCAGGAAACAAGTTCACCAAGAACCAAGTAACCTTACACTTCTTCAAATCCTACAACGTTTTCTCAATTTTACTTAAGATTCACTACTTTTTTATTTCGTCAGGTGCCAAGCTCATCACATTTCATGGAGATCTTCCATATCCATCTTGTGAACTTGTTGAAAAGATTGAATCTCTTAATGATGAAGATGTAGTTGGGGCTGGAGGATTTGGTACTGTATATAGAATGGTTATGAATGATTGTGGGACGTTTGCTGTTAAGAAGATTGACCGGACTCGTGAAGGTTCTGATGAAACCTTTGAGAGAGAGTTGGAGATCTTGGGCAGCATCAAGCACATCAATCTGGTCAATCTTAGAGGATATTGCAGGCTTCCCAAGGCAAAGCTTCTTATCTATGATTACTTAGCTATGGGCAGCTTAGATGATTTATTGCACGGTACATTTCTTTACTATGTCTATGTGTGTGTGTATGTGTGAGAGTGTGTGTGTGTGTGTGTGTATATATATATATATTTTTTTTGTAAAATACTAAGGTTGAATTTTTAGCAATATTCTCTTAATATGAATTGGTTTTTTGTTTCCTATGAGCTTACCAATTTAATAATTTGTTCATCAGCACGTGTAGATGACCGGATCTTGAATTGGAATGCTCGTTTAAGAATAGCCTTTGGTTCAGCTAAGGGATTGGCATACCTACACCATGACTGCTGTCCTAAGATTGTACATCGTGATATAAAATCTAGCAACATACTCCTTGATGAGAACCTCGAGCCTCATGTTTCAGACTTTGGTCTTGCAAAACTATTGGTTGATGAGGATGCTCATGTTACAACTGTAGTTGCTGGCACATTTGGCTATTTGGCTCCAGGTTTGTGCTTCATCTTATTATGGACATTCTATTGTCCTGATCATCCGTTCATTTGTTTCTGCTTCATTCTCAGTCAAGATGTCTATTGGAGTTTATTTGTTATAAAGATCTGTACCACCAACAAATCCTGCTATCCCTCCTAAGAAACAGAACATTTTTTTGTCTCCTTGTTTTCAAATCTGTGAAAATTTCCAAGAATCATCAGTGTATAAAACTGACCAAGATTTTTGTTCTTTAACATGACACAGAATACTTGCAGAGTGGAAGAGCAACAGAAAAGTCAGATGTCTATAGCTTCGGGGTTCTACTGTTGGAACTTGTAACTGGAAAGAGGCCAACTGATCCTTCTTTTGTAGAACGAGGATTAAATGTCGTTGGCTGGGTATATGCTGACTTCAATTATATATCTAAGCTTCACCTATTGCAGACTTTTTGACTGATAACAAAATTTGCAGATGAATACGTTACTGAGGGAGAATCGGATGGAGGATATCATGGACAAAAAATGTCGGAATGCTGATGTGGAGACTGTAGAAGCAACCGTAGAAATAGCAGCAAGATGCACCGATGCAAATCCGGATGATCGTCCTACAATGCAGCAGGTACTGCAGTTTTTGGAGCAGGAGGTCATGTCACCTTGCCCTAGTGACTTCTATGAGTCTCCTTCAGATAAATCTTGATATCGTGTTATTCCAACATCCACCATCTTGTGGATAACGTCCCAGTCCCCAGTTGTCCCATCTGTGGGATCGATTTCTCCTGCGCTGTGTAATAATTTGCAGCATTTTTCGTCTGTAGATGAGTTAATCGACATGATTGGGGTGTGTTGGAATGAAAAATGATTCCGAAACTATAGATGTTCTGTTTTCATTCTTATTTTGGTTAGTCCAATTCAGCGTACCAAACATGTGAATGGATGAATACAAATCGAGAAAACAACATAAATATATCATCATTTTATTTACTTTTGACAAGTCTGAATCAATTTTGTACGCTGTTTGCATTTACTCGCATGACAACTAATTTGATGCAAAAATGATTGGTAATATTTACTAATACATCTTTTCTGCAAAATTGCAGCCACAGATTTTAATTTCACCACCTAGATCTTGGTAGCTTGCTTATCAAAATTTAAAATTCTCCTTCAAGTAGCATACAATCTCTTGCTGCAAAAGTTTAGAAGAAAATAATCAGTGAACTAAATTAATATGTGTCAATCAAGATTCAGAATTATTATTATCTTAGGACTGAACAATATAATAAACGAGATGAAATGGTGTCTTGTCGACAAAGAGCAGTAGAATTGGTAATGAAATGATGAAGGCAAGATGAATTTGAACTTACAATTAAACAGAGGATAACGCATCCAGCAGCACCAGGAAACAAAGAGTACCAAAAATTCAAATGATGAAGCTTAACTCCATCGATGAACAGTAACGGCAAGCTTGCCGCTGCAAATCAATACATACGACTATCAATATCAACATGTGGACTATTATGAGTAAGAAAAAGTTATCGGCATCAATGAAATTTGTTTGTAGAATGAGAAATTTGTAAGTGATTACCTGGAGGATGTACTGCACGAGTGAAAATCATGAAGGCTAAGGCCGCGGAAAGGGCCGCGCTCCTAGCTAGCCAACCTGGACCAAATACTGAGAACGCCAAAACACCAATAGCTGCACAACCAATTTGAGCCACGAACATGTTGTACTTCTGCAAAGTTGCAGCAGTCGGACTTCAATGGCCCGTCCATTTCACAGAAAGTATATATAGATACGAGAAAACAATTGATATGTATAATGGAGGTTTTTAGTCTGCTCCAATTTACTGAGAACATAGCTTGTTGCTATAAAATTGGATGCAAAAAATGTTTTAGATGCAGACGCTTGGTCTTAATACTTAAACCTCGGGGCCAGGACCTTTTATGATCAATTGAAGACCTTGCAGCTAAATGCTACGAGACAAAGGCCTTGTTTGATGCCCTATTATTTCATCAAAATGAGTTTTATAATAATGAATTTTTGGAAAGTGTATGGCTAAAAAGTAGGAAAAAGTTTTGAATTTACGTGCAAAATGTTTTCCTGAGAACGTGTGGTTGAAAACGACTTTAAAAAAAAAACGATTTTTGAAATAATGAAAATCAAATGGGCATTAAAATAAAGTCCTCAACAGCAGTGAGTTTCAGATATGAGTGTTTATTATGACATTAATATTGGGAGGTCATTTTTAATCTCCATCTTCATAACAAATGCAGAATTATGTGAACTGATAATTCTCAACTTTACACCAAATTTGGAAGGCTGATACAACAAATTTTTTGGTTCGAATCGATGAAGCCTATATCCATGTGAATCTATTAAGAATGGGAGATTACGAGGACTTCCTCTTTCATCTAACACAACTTCACACACAACATATCCTATGTTATAATGACGAATGAGACATGGTACCATCTTAGATTGTCTAGGCAATGTATCGGGTGGTCAAACTATATGGAACAAAATCATGCACACTACAAGTCACGACATATGGGACCGGGTGAACTAATGAGAAAAACCACAATGCAGTGTTGGTATGAAGGCTAGAAAATCTTCCTAAGAAAATTCCGGTAAATTTAACTTTCACGAGGAGGCTTTACCATAGATAGTCTGAGCACATTTCAAATTCTAAGTCTACGACCCTAGGAAATAACATTTTCTAGTCATGTGAATTACATGAACATAGTACTATTCTTATATAGTTATATGGTATTTCTCATGTAGTATTAAGCAGGACGAAGAGAAGTCACAGAATGTATACCCTGGCACCGGGAGACGAGGGAGTGGCATAGAGGACAGCACAAACTGCACCTAGGGGAGCAATTGTCATGGAAATACCTTTTGGTACCAAAATTTGATCAATCTTTCCTAGTATAGCCATTGCAACAAATGCCCCTGTTGAATGTAATCAACACCATAAAAAGTTGAATGATTATATCCAGGGCTGCACATAGTTTTAAAACTAAACAAAACAAATCTGTATAGCACTTAAATTAGTAAACCTTTAATGATAAGCTCAATCTAAACTTGTAAAGATTTGCTTATAATTATTTAAATTGATTATTAATCTAATTCAAACTTCACTAAATTGTTAACTTTGATGGTAGATACAACAATGAACCCATATAAGATAGCATGCTATCCTTTATTCCTTCACTCTAACTTATCGAAAACAAGGCGTAGTTCAAACTCTAATTCAAAAAATTTATTAGACTCATTTACAATTGTAAAAGCTGCCTAAAGGTAAGTCGTATTTACTTTTAACTTGCCTATTTTGCACCCACAAAATTCTTGAAGTTTTTTTCTCTTACAAATTTTACTTTTTCACTTTATAGAAAAGTAAATGTTAAGCCCAACAAAACTATCAAAAAGGCAAAATTTACACTATGCATCAATAGAATTACGCACATTACAATTGTAAAACTAAATTAGATAACATAATCTTGATTCTTACTGAGTCTAACCTGCAGAAGGCCAAAAAATGTCACTAAGAGAAGGAGCTTTAGAACCCTTATCCGGCACCCAACCATGGGTTTAACCACGTCGGTGTAATGACGATGATGCAACTACACTCAATTTCCTTTTTCTTAATCCCTTTTCTGGTCGAAGCCCAATGTACTTTGCAGAATTACAAGAAGATCGTAATGAATTTAATGGAGAAAATCTGTGCAGTGATGGCACAAGTGCTCGTGGCAAAAAGAGCTGGATGTGGGCCTTACTCGCATGGAGCTGCACACCCATTTCTTCAATCTCCTATCAATTCCGGAAACAATATCTTATCTGGAGTATGTCTATGTATACGTAAGAAGTCGAAGACATGGCAAAGCGGTGGAGGTTTGGACCCTTTGAAAAGTCGAAAGGACAGTTGGGATAAGGGGGCAATATATGGATTATACAATTCACCGCCACTGTCCTATTCATTTTTTATTCGTTAACCTCTTTGAAACTTGAAGGGTTTGCTGGCTAATAATAATAGCCTATGCTTTTTGTGTGTGGCAATGGCATGATTTGCATGTTTGACTAAGCTTAAAAAATTTACTTATAATTAAAAGTAAATGTTAAGATAATTATTTTAGCCGACCAAGGCGTGAGGAATCAAGAGATCTTTCCTAATGCCTACTTAGATCTCGAGTGACTAAATAAGACATATAGTAACTATTAAAAGTCGTGTCAAAACTCGTCTCCAATGAAACGACTAGCAAATGGAGGGAAAAGTCCTTTGTCACTTGAATTGTATGCTAAGATATTCGCACGTGTGATTCTTCGGTTGGGGATGCTAGTGGAAGCCATCCATCTCAAGATCGTATATTGGAGCTTAATATAAAATCTTATTTTCTTACAAGGAGGTGAGTTCCAATGAGGGAAAAGTCCAAAAAATGCTTCAAAGTAAGATCCGTTCATTGACCCTTCATTTCTTGAACCGTACCCGGTGAGGATGAGAGGAAAATGTGATCAAAATGTCTGATCTATAAATTGAGGGCTTACCATGAAACTTCCACTCCCCTCACTTCTCTTTTTTCTAGGGCTGGACAAAATGTCCGAACCGAACCGAACCGAATCAAGCGGGTATTTTTAAATGAAATATCGAATCGAGAATCGAATGGTTTGGTTTGTTTCGATTCACGATTCTAGACCCAGAACCGAAAAACCGAATAAGAACCGAATTTTTTTTTTATATTGGATAAATCAATTTCTTTTATTTTTTCTAAACAAATTAATAATTTTTTTCTTATTAAATCTTATTAGTTGAACAATTTAGAGTTTATTTATGTTTGTTAGTTGTGTTTTTTTCAATTTTTTCTCCCAAATTGGTGCAGCCACATTACTTGATGATGCAACTACACTCAATTTCCTTTTTCTTAATCCCTTTTCTGTTCGAAGCCCAATGTACTTTGCAGAATTACAAGACGATCGTAATGAATTTAATGGAGAAAATCTGTGCAGTGATGGCACAAGTGCTCGTGGCAAAAAGAGCTGGATGTGGGCATTACTCGCATGGAGCTGCACACCCATTTCTTCAATCTCCTATCAATTCCAGAAACAATATCTTATCTGGAGTATGTCTATGTATACGTAAGAAGTCGAAGACATGGCAAAGCGGTGGAGGTTTGGACCCTTTGAAAGTCGAAAGGACAGTTGGGATAAGGGGGCACTATATGGATTATACAATTCACCGCCACTGTCCTATTCATTTTTTATTCTTTAACCTCTTTGAAACTTGAAGGGTCTGCTGCCTAATAATAGCCTATGCTTTTTGTGTGTGGCAATGGCATGATTTGCATGTTTGACTAAACTTAAAAAATTTACTTATAATTAAAAGTAAATGTTAAGACAGTTATTTTATCCGACCAAGTCGTGAGGAATCAAGAGATCTTTCTTAATGCCTACTTAGATCTCGAGTGACTAAATAAGACATGTAGTAACTATTAAAAGTCGTGTCAAAACTCATCTCCAATGAAACGATTAGCAAATGGAGGGAAAAGTCCTTTGTCACTTGAATTGTATGCTAAGATATTCGCATGTGTGATTCTTTGGTTGGGGATGCTAGTGGAAGCCATCCATCTCAAGATAGTATATTGGAGCTTAATATAAAATCTTATTTTCTTACAAGGTGAGTTCCAATGAGGGAAAAGCCCAAAAAATGCTTCAAAGTAAGATCCGTTCATTGACCCTTCATTTCTTGAAGCATACCCGGTGAGGACGAGAGGAAAATGTCATCAAAATTTTTGATCGATAAATTGAGGGCTTACCATGAAGCTTCCACTCCCCTCACTTCTTTTTTTTCAATAAATAATAAACAAACTCAGCTACTTTAGAGGTCTCTCTTCAACCAAAAAGGATAAGAGTAATAAGTTGAACGATTGCAAAGTTGCTCTCTCTCTCTCTCTCTCTCACGTGTGAAAATCGCAGAGGCGATTTTGGGCGATTGAGTTAGGGTTTTCCTTGCTTCCGTCGGAGTGACGGCGCCCCCCAGACGGGCCTTTCGATAACGATGGGCACGATGGGAAAGACGTCGACGGGACCTATAGCACTAGCCACCATGGTTAAACAAGGACGATCTTTCTTAGAAGCTGCAAAACAATATGTGGATAGGGCGATTTCGGCGAGTCCGTCGCTGCAACTGAGGAGACCCGAGTTGATTGAAGGAGAACTGGGCCTTATCTTCACGGATTTAGAGGTTAAACGTTTGGCAGAGGATTTCAGATTTACCTTAGTTCTTAAATTCCTATCCTTTAGACCGAACATTGATTGGGTTCGGTTCGGGCGACCATAGCCAAAACTTGGGGATTGTGGGAGGTTCCTGTGGTTAGTCAAACGGATGCTTCACATGTCTTGGTAAAATTGAAAAGTGAGGGCGATTTCTTACATGCCTGGGCAAGAGAAGGTAGGTTTGTGGCTAGTGCTTCATTCAAACTTTTCAAGTGGACTCTAGATTTTGATTTCCATAAGGAGTCATCATTGGCTCCTCAATGGATTTTTCTACTTGGACTTCCACTGCATCTTTACCGGCAGGATTGCCTTCGTATCCTAGCAACACGATTTGGTTGATACTTGGGTACAGATCATGCTACTTTGAATCGCACACGAGCCTCTGGTGCTCGTATCTGTGTAGAGATTGATTTATTAGCTGATGTAGTAGAATGTTTTCCGATCATAATAGGTTCGAAGACCCTTTGTCAACGTGTTAAGTATGAAAAATTTAGCTTTTATTGTAAGAAATGCAAGAGGCAGGGTCACACAGAGGCTGTTTGTCGAGTGGGTCAACAATTTCATGAGAAGCAGAAAAGGAAGAAAATCGTAACTATTGGCCAGGAAAAGAACGAGTGGAGGAAAAAATCTGGCGATGTGGGTAGTAGTGTGGAAATAGAAAAACAATATGTACAGGTGGGTGGAGTTTTGACAAAGTTGTTTGCTAGTGTCTTTACTGGTATAGTCCATGAGCAGGGAAGTGATAAAACAGAAAAGGTTGGTGAAAGTAGTAGAGGAATAAAGTTGATTGTGGATAATGATAAGGAGAAAATGGAGATTGAATTGGGGAGGGATAGAAATATGGATGAGGATGGAACTGTAGCTTCAAAGACTTGTGGGATCAAAATTGCTGAACATAGAGGAGGCACTCACTAGCACCTTTAGGTTGGGTTTATTTGGTGGATGGGGAGCAAGCAAGGGAAGAAGGAGAAATAGAGGACAGATATACGATCTTAAATGGAGATATTATGGCCACGATCGAGGATAACGAACAAACAAATGTAATGGCCATGCATATTATGTTAATGACAGAAGAAGATCAAGGGGTCAAAGAAAATGCTGAGGAATTACAAGAGGACTTTAGGGATCATGGTAGTGCAGATGAGGTTATGACATAATATGGTGGAGGAATTGGGAAATATTCGTGATTGCGTTTCAGACTCTGAACAAAGGGCCAAAGGACACCACAGGAAAAAAGTTCATAAGGTTAGAAGCTCTTCCAAGGTTCCAAGCAGACCCTCTAGACTCAATCTATGAGTTGCAACAATCTCTTTTAGAACATGCGAGGTATAGGGACCTCAACAAGCATGTTACAGAAGTTGGTGAGAAGGCATAAACCGAAAATAGTAGCGATAGCGAAGCTTTGGAAAATGGATAGAATGGGCATTTTACAGAGGAAACTAAACTTTAATTTTAGCTTATCGAACAATGATGTGGAAGGAAAACTTTGGATCATGTGGGATCATGAAGTACATGTTAATTTGATAAGTAAAAGTAACCAGCATATCACTTGTTTGGTGATAGAAGGTACTTACCGGATGCTGGTTTCTTTTATTTATGCAAAATGCACTGCTGTATAAAGAAGATTACTCTGGTCAGATTTAGAAGAGGTGAATCATTCACAAGTTCCCTGGGCAGTGGTTGGAGATTTTAATAGTATCAGAAATAATTCAGAAAGGCGTGGAGGCCATCCTCGACCAATGGGTGCCGTGGAGGACTTCAATCAGTTTATTGATAATTGTGGGTTGATGGAAATACTGCCAGATGGTGGGGAATTTTTTTCCTCGTGTAACGGTCAAACAGGCTGGAGTAGGAGTTGGACAAAATTGGATAGATTATTGCTTGATTCTAATTGTTTGGAGAAATTTCCAAATCTTCATATGAGGTATTTAGCTCGTACCACGTCGGACCACGCACCAATGTTGATCTGGCTACAGACTCATATGGCTCGTTATGGCCCTACACCGTTAAGGATTGTGTGCTAAAGATATATGAAGGCAACTCAGATGAAAGTGGTCTATGGCGCCTAGTTGGAAAACTAAAAAGGTTGAGGACTACACTACGTATATGGAACAAAGAGGTGTTTGGGTGGACGCAGGAACACATTCAGCGGCTTGAAAAAGAGTTAGAAGAGTTGGATACTAGCCTACAAGTGGCTCACTCGGGGGATACTAGCCTACAAGTGGCTCACTCGGAGGAGATTGAATATACATATTTAGCTACAAAAGTAGAACTTGACACTTGGGAGAAGAGGGAAGAAATGTGCCTAGCACAAATAGTAAAGCAGATTTGGATTGAGAAAGGTGAAGCCAGTCATCACTTTTAAGCAGTTTACTGGCGGACCTCTTACAGTGTCAAGGGGATGAGACTAAGGGATGGTAAAGTGCTTGATAATCATGAGGCAATCCATCACGCAGCGGTTGATTATCTTCAAAATTTCTTAGGAGCTAGACCCAAGAAAGACCAACCAGACCTATCAACCTGGATTCAACACACCATTTCAGAGGTAGAGAACAAGGAAATTGGGAAGTTACCTACTCCTCAGGAGGTCAAAGATGTAGTTTTTTCTATCCCAACGGATAGTAGCCCTTGTCTAGATAAATTTGGCTCGGGATTCTATAAATCTTGTTGGGATATAGTGGGTGAGGATGTCGCGGAGGCACTGTGTGATTTTTTCGAGGTACGGATATGCCGAGATTCTACTCCTCCTCTTATGTGGTCCTTATCCCTAAGACAGTCTCCCCTTCGAGTTTTGACAAGGCTCAGGCTAATCAGTTTATGTTCAATTATATATAAGGTCTGGTCGAAAATTTTGGTGAGACGAATAGCTTTAATATTACCCAGAATTATTTCTATAGAACAAGGTGCTTTTATTACAGGGAGAAGTATCTTTGATAATATCACTATGTTTCAAGGGATGATCCACAACCTTCATAAGCCGGCAAGGGGTGGAAATATAGTCTTGAAAGTGGATATTGCTAACACATATGATAGTATTTATTGGGACTTTCTTTTGCATGTTTTGAAGTCTTTTGGTTTCTCTTCTAAGATTTGTGATCTGGTAAGCCAGTGTGTTACTACTCCTTTGTATTATATGTTGATGAATATAACTATAAAGGGTTTCTTTAAGGGTGGAAGGGGTTTAAGATAAGGGGATCCCCTATTTCCATATCTTTTTATTCTTGTCGAAAAAGTTTTATCCAGAATGTTTGAAGATGGCAGCATAAGATCTTTCTCGTTACCAAGGGGGCTCTCTTAATTTCTCATCTGTTGTATGTTGATGACATTGTTATCTTCGCTAATGGTGGAAAAAAATCTCTAAGAACTATAAAGGAGGTCTTTAAACAGTATGAAGAATGGTCAAGACAGGTTGTTAGCGTTGATAAAACCTCCATTATTTTCTCTAAACGGATCACATTTTCAAGAAGACGGATGCTCTTACGACTCATTGGATTTACAGAAGGTAAATTCCCCTTCAAATACTTAGGGGTTCCTATAATCACAGGAAGATTGAGAGCTCAAGATTTTGAGGAAGTGGTTGGGAAAATCTGTATGAGATTGGCAGGTTGGCAAAGTAGGATGTTATCTAAGGGGGCTAGGCATTTACTTTTGAGACATGTCCTTAACAACATACATGTACATTTATTTTCTTGCATTAAAGCACCAGCTTTGGTTATTAAAGTTATCAACAGAATATTTAGTGACTTCTTCTGGGGCTACGCTGATGGCAAGCCTAAGAGAAAATGGGTATCATGGGATAAAGTTTGTGTACCTGTTAAAGAAGGAGGAGCTGGACTTGGCAATCTACATGAAGTGCGATTATCCTTACATATGAAATTTTCTTGGAAAATTTTCACTGAGACATCTCTTTGGTCAAAAATTTTTAGGGCAAAATATATTAAGGACAAACACATATCTCAGGTAGATGCTACTAAGGGGTCAAGATTCTGGACGATGGTTATAAGTTGCATGCCAGATATTTTTAATCAATCTAGATGGCGAATGAAGAATGGTGGTATATCATTTTGGTGGGATAGATGGCCAAATATGGATCCTTTGGGAGACCAGAGGCTATTGGTTGAACAACCTAATATCTTGTTCAAAGATCTAAAAAATGATAATGGGTGGAATGAAAATCTGATAGAAGAGCTAGTTGGGAGTGATTAAGTGGGAGAGGTTCTTGCTAAACTTGGAAATATTGAGACGGGCAAATATAAACTTATTTGGACTGAAATCTTGGATGGAAAATTTTCTGCAAAAAGTGCTTAGGAAGCTGAGAGACGTTATGGATAGATATCGTAGTGGCATGAATGGATTTTGCATCCTACTCTACCAAAGAAGATTTCGTTAAATATGTGGTTGGCTATGAAAGGAGGTCTATCAGTAGATGACAAAAGCTAAAAGGCCGGTATTCCCATTGTATCAAAGTGTATATGCTGCTTGTAGGGGGATATGAGGATCTAAATCACGTATTGGCCTTAGGGAATGTGGCTTAACAAATTTGGTAGAAATGTTCAACCATATTAGGTGTTCGTTGCATACAAACTCAAGAATGGAGAGAACGTATAGATATTTGGTTTCGAAGAGCAAAACAAACATCACATAAAGATACTTTGGTAGGTATTATTCCTAGTATTATTTGCTGGCATTTATGGATGTGGCAATGTTTGGCCAAGATGGAAGGTAAGTTGGAATCTATAGAAGCTACTTGGAGAAAGATAAAAGCTTGTATCTCTTGGGTGGGTTTAAAACTAAAAGAAGCGAGATCATTAAGCAGAAGAGATGTATGGGTCTTGCAGGAACTTAACATTCCAGTCAAGTCGATTAAGGAAAAAAGAATCAGAGTAGTGAGATGACAACGACCTATGCAGGGATGGTATAAACTCAATACTGATGCATGTTGTCTTGGAAATCCTGGCATTTGTGGTGCATGAGGTTTTATTCGGAATGAGAAGGGTGATATTGTTATTGCCTTTATTGAGTATCTTGGTGAGGGTACCAATAATGGTGCCGAATTACTTGCATTATTATATGGGCTGCGACATGCTAAAAGGATGGGAATTAACCGACTTGACGTGGAGCTCGACTCATTGAATATCGTTAATTGGCTAAAGAGGAATGTTTGTGGTATTTGGTATTTAGAGGATTACTGGGAAGAAATACAATACATTTTGTCTATTATCTCATGTAGAGCTCAGCATATACATCGCGAGAGTAATTCAATAGCTGATATCTTGTCAAAATTGGGAGTGTCTAGTGTTTCACATATCTGGATGGATTCTATAGCAATCCCATCATTGGTCAGAGGAGCTTTGCGAATGGACAAACTTGGTATTCCTTATTTAAGAGGTTCTTCTCCCCATAGGTCGACGTTAAATTTTCCAATATTGTTTTAGATTACTAGGAGTTTTGGAAAAGAGTAACAATAATAGTTTAGCTGGTTTTATTTGATTTGTAACCACGGTTTTTCCTCCACCACAAGTGAGGTGCTATTAGTAAGAGGTGTCATTCTCAGAAAAAAAAATAGTTGAACGATTGATATTCCATTTACAGTTATAGCACATCTATCGAAGCATAAAAAGTTTAAGAGGGTGTTTGGTATGGATTAAAATAAGATTTTTAGTAGATTGTGATAGAAAATTTTAAAATATGTAGTTGAAAAGTTGTGGGACCTATAAAAGATGTGGTTAATATTAATTATTTTACTTTGACTTGGATTAAAATTAGACCAACTGGGGGCTAAGAATCCAGCCTTGAGTTTTTTGAGTTCAAATTTCGACCTGAATATTATGTTGAAAAATAAATAAGTTTATTATTTAAAAAATAAATTTTAATTTATTACTTTTTTACTTATACTAGTTAGAAGCTCGTGCAATGCACGTACCATGATGTAGTTGAGTACGTAATA